TTATTTTCAGAGGCACATGAGTGAGATATTGACCTTTTATTAGCAAAGATAAAAGGTGAGAAATAGGGATAGACAATTTCTCTTGATCATTCCTTGGTCTCTTTCGATTCTTTGTTGGTTGGGTGGTGGGTTCAAATATAGGAACAAGATCATGAATGACCATTTGAGGATAGAAATTTGTTGGAAAGCTCAAATGCTGGCTTGATTGGTAAAGATATGAGTTTTGAGAGATATGGCTTATGGTAGAGAGATGAGGTTGATAAACAAGATAAGGATCGTACGGGATAAAGCTATTAGGTAGATGCCCCTCCATTATGACTGCTTGCATTTTTTTTTATTTTAGTTTGATGTACTTTCCTCTTTAACATCTGTCGTATCTTTAATTTCTTTCTCAGACAAGGATGGTTGTACTTGGACTGCTATGTCTCTCCATCATATGCATATTCTCTAAAAGTTTTAGTTGATCTTTTCTTCATGTTCTGTAAGAACAACCTATTTAGCACTATATCTTCAACATGCTTGTATTATGCTAGGAAGGCCCTAGCCAAGTCATTCCAAGGGTAAATCTTACTTCGGTCCAACTAAGTATACCATCTTACTACAGGCTCAATAAGACTATCTTGAAAGCAGTGGATCAACAACTTATCCTCATGGGTGTAACCTGTCATTTTTTTATAGTACATAGTGATGTGTGTTAAAGGGCATTTCATTCCATCATACTTATCAAAATTTAGGGCTTTAAAATTTTGATGGAATAACAAGATTAGGCACTAAACTAAGCTCGTTGGCGCCAACATTCGCGTACACATCATGGCTTTCAATTGCTTTCAATCTCTCTTCTAACAAATCAAATTTATCTTTCATCACTATATCTCTTGATGGATCTGACACCCTTTTTAATTTTTTTTATTCTTTAAGATCATCCATATTAGGCACAATAGTGAAGTCATAAAAAGTACGTCTAGGGTTGACATTTGTCTAAACTAAGGGTAACTCGACAGAAATATTAGTAAAAGGTTGATGAGTAGTTGGAGGTACTTGTGGCATGTGAGGGTCTTGAACATATGTGGATCCAGATGGATACAATGGTGTCTCAACAATTGTTTCCTCCATTGCCCCATGTGTTTCAATAACTCTTTTTCCTTTTATCAACTCCACTAACATCTGTTTTAATTCTGCCAACTATCTGCTCATATTTTATTGCATTCCCATAACTGTTTCACTGATATCTCATTGGGCCTTTTCTACTCTATCCATTCGACTGGCATCTTCATTTTGCATGATTTTGATACTGACTCGAGTGCTATAAATATGCAGACTTAACTGACCTTGTTTCGTAGAATAGCTATCCTTGAACCTTTTATTAATTATCAAATGTCAAAAATGCATGACATGAATTTTATTATAAAAAAAACTTTTGGCTTTGAGGGTTTAACAAAAGCATATTCACAATCATCTTTTATGCTTAGCTAGCATGAAAAACAATGAATTCAAACAGATGATGCATGATGTGCAAGTCAAAAATTTTTTATTATTAAAGAGAAAAAACTAGGGTTCTATCTTATAGTAGTAAATTAGTTAATAATTGATAACTTTGTAGTAAATCATTGATAAATTAATAGTAAATAAGTTATAACTTTATAACAAATCATCAGTAACTTAATAGTGAATTAGCAACAATTTAGTAATAAATCATTTATAACTTTGTAATAAACCATTTATAAAGTAGTAGTAAATTAATGTTAATTTAGCAATAAATCATTGATAATTTAGAAATATATCATTAATAGTTTAGTATTAAATTGTCGATAATATAATAGTAAATCAATAATAACTTAGTTGTTAATCATTTATATATTTTTTTTATATTTAAAGTTGTTAGAAATTGAATCTTGCTATTAGCAGAAACGAAGTTAAAAATTTTATATTAGAAGACTAGGATAAACCTATCACAAAACTATTTAATAAAAAAATTTAGCAAAAAATTTTTGAATTTGAATGAAACAATAATGTTATTATATAAAAAAAAAATTATCTTATACTAGAATTAAACTTGTGCTTTCCTATGTGAACCCATAATTAAATAAATGATGACATAAATTTTATCAATAATTACTAAGAGTATATCATAAGTTACTATAAAATTAATTACAAAAATTATATCAAGAGGTTACTAAAATTATATCATAAGTTATCAAACTAATATTAAAGGTTACCAAAATTGTATTGAATGTTACAAAAATTTTATCAATAGTTATCAAAATTAAAATTATATAAAAAATTATCAAAATTTACTTATATTATACCAAAATCAAAATTAAATTATTAATATTTATTATTATTATTATCATTATTATTATTATTATCATAGTATAAAAATTTTATTTATTAAAATAAATTTTTTAAAAATAAAAATTACACTTACATTACGCATGTGTCAAAAACTAGTATATATATATAATCAATTCCAAAAGAAGAGTTATCTTCTATAGGCAGTGATGAAAATAAAATTTAATGAGATTATAACATGTTTATGAAGCTATAATTAAAAAGTTAAAATTTAACAAAATACTAAACCAACATCATGTTTCAATTCAATAACCTCCTTCCTCGTTGAGATTAAAAATTTTAGTAATAGTAGACCACAGACAAAGAAAAACAAGCAAAAGGTATTGTACCATTTGATATTTTTCCAAGCACCATAAACCTTTACAAATTGAACTCTTTGTGGAATTTTCTAGGAACCCATTTCCGAGGAGCTTCTTCGTCCTTCTGTCTCGCTGTTCAAAATGGAAATTTTATAAAAGGTGAAGCAGAGATATGGGAGGTATTGCAGTTGTGGTCGTTCAATGATCAAGTTTCATTGCCTTTTTCATTATGTTCCCCACTAACCTCTATGAGGACGACGCGTGAAACACAAAAAGAGTTTCAAAGAAACATTTCTGCCTTAGGAGATTTTTTTAAAGATAAAATAAGTGGGGGAAAAAACTTTTCATTGTTGGGTTATTGATTTAAGGAAGTTCATCTTTAAACCATGGCCTTCCACAATGGACCAAATATTTTGTTTTCAACGCACAGGGCCGCAAAGCAAACACCATAGTAGGGGTGGGGGGAAAGTTGCTCAAGTTTTTGCAGTTTATTGGTTCTTGGTAATTTAAAATTAGGCCACCTTTTCTGGCAGGTGGCACTAATGCACGAGCCATGATTTTCCCCTTATTTTCTAAGTTAAAACATCGTCTCCTTCCCCTTCCGAAGAACCATGTACTGTTTCCCACAAATTTTTTTTTTTTTTCAGTTATGATGGTTACGTTTTGAGGCTGAAATCTACAAATTAAAGTAGCTGATGATATTTTCATTAATGGCGGCTTTTGCCTACCATTGTGCTGGATTGTCAACGCTAAACGATCGTTACGGACAGATCACAATTAATTTTATGGTATTTGATTTGTTTATTATAATGAACAAGACATTTGTGGCGCAGTCCTTACAGTTACACACCGACATATGTCAGCATTTGATTCACCTCTTTTTATGGGCTACATTTACTTTAGTATGCTAATTGCTCTTTTCTAGGCTCGGACAGCATGTGCAGACTTTGGCAGGGTAGAGAATTTGGATAAATCTTTTCTTTTTTTTTTTTTCATTTAAATGTTAAAATTAAATGACACAACAGAAGCAATTGAAAATTTACTGATTATTATTCAATTGTTGGCAACTTTGTAATTAGGCAAGGGGCGCAAGGCTCTGCTGCTTTAATTTCATGGAGTAATTTTTTATTCATGTGCTCTTCTTTGCATACTGCAGCATCTGCCTTCCAATTCTATGCTAAATCCTGGCTGGAATATTTTCGAACTAATGAAAGTTCACCAAGTCAAGAATGGAACAAGTAAAAAGTACAAAATGCGATGCTTAAAATTAAGTATATTTATTATTCGATCAACCTGCAACGATTAAGTTCAAAATCTCATTTAAATAAACTGGTTAAATTCGTAATACAACAACTCTTCCACTCCATTGCTATCCCAATCATAGGGAATATGACTTCAATCAGGCGACATCCGGCTTAATAAACCCAAATTACGGGTCAAAAATGTATAAAACAATATATTAAGCTCTGTCCAAATCATTGTATACATGATTTTTCTTATTTAAACAACTTTTATCACTCCTTTTCTTCAATAGAAAAAAAGATTTTTTTACTGTTAATGACAAGTGTAGAGTTTTGTTATGAAAAATAATTAATGTTTTCAATACTATAATTGTATGATATGATTTAAATAAAAAAATATATATTAATATAAAATAATCTTTCTGTATAATTTTTCTAAAAAATAGAATAGGAAACTCAAGTCGATGTTTCCAACCAATTTGAGGTGGCCATCCCCATCCCATCCTATCCCTACGCCAGGTGCGAGGTGGGGTGCAAGGTTGAGGAGTCCAGTCAATGAACAACGTCATGGATTCCATGTTCCGTGTTTAACATTGGCATCCATAAGTCCATAGCCATGAGATCATTTTTGAAAAGTCAAAACGAAGAAATTAATTTCGTATGCTTCACAAGTTCACTTTAATATGGGTCTGATTCAGATGTGCTTCTATATGAATGCTTAGTGCTAACAACCACGCATTTGACGAAAGTGGAGGCCCCAAAATCGATTATGAGAAAGTAAGACTTTGTAGTAATTGTTTTCACAAAAAAAGGAAGGTTTTTTTGGACCCTGGTGTCGACCATCTCATTTCAATTCTAATCGAATTATAATTAAAAGCTACCATTTTCCAATAAAGTTTTTCCAATAAAGCTACCGTTTAATTAGGCAATAACTAAAAACAATGGTCCAAAATAAAAAGGGCAGCGGCGTTGTAATGGAGAGAGCAAGATCAGTGGGGCGTTGAATGAATATATAACACATATATCAGAAAGAAGTGGAGGAATATACCTCTTGGGGATTTCGAATATTTTGTGATTGTTGGTGACACCCTGTTGTATATAAATACATACTCTTGCATGCCCTTTCACTTCATTGCTTCGACCCAAATTCCATCTTTTCACTAAATCTTCCTTTTTTTTATTTTTATCTCACTCTTTTTCACTCTCATTCCCTCGACAAAAAAAACTTGAGCACTTAACAAAACAGGTCAGTTTCAGAATCTTCCAATTACAGGCTTTTACTCTCTGTCTCTCTCTCCCATGATTCTATGATGTTTTTTGTTCTTTTGTCTCATTGTCTTTCAGGCATATATATTGTTGTTTCTTTCATTTTTTTTTTAAAGGATGTAATAACAATTCTTCATGCATGAAAACGGAATTGCTTTTTGTTAATGACGACAACCAGTAGCTTTTTATACATCTGGGAGTTTTTTTTCCATATAATATCTTTTTTGTATGAATCTTATTTGATAAAAGTGAGGTACCCTAGTTTGCTATCAGGTCTTGATTTTATTTTTCACTGTCAGACATCCTATCGGGCTTCTCCAATGCTCTGGGGGTTTTATAAATCATGGAAAAAGAATTCTACTATAGATTATAGAGAAATGAATGTTCTTGAAAATGCTCATCCTGGCTCAAATGCAACTTGCTACAGAAAGATTTCCTTGATATTAACGGACGAAAATCAATTCATCAATGATCGCTTTGATTGTTTATGGAAAAATTCAAAATCTTATACACTCAGTATACAGTATTCAAATATTGGCCATAATTCCTGGATCTGTCTGCAACTCTTTTAAGAATAGTGTCATAGTTAATGTTTCCTTTTAAAATGTATACATTTATATATATATATATATATCATATGTATTTTCTTGGATCTTCTTTTTTCAATTTTTAATGATTAAGTTTTCCAAAAACGGGTTTTCACTCCCTCCTTTTGCTCACCAGAAATTTTATAATTATTTAAAGATCTGGATCCTCTTTATATGAGGCGTTTTAACAGTCTGTTTAGAAAAAGATTCCCCAAATATTAACCATAATTTTTACGGTCACTTGTCTTTATTTCCTCACTTTAACCGGAAATGTGTTGACTTTCCATGCATTTTAACATAGGAGGAAACAAAAATTTTTTTTTTCCATTTGATCTTCTTAGGCACAGGGTATGGTCCCCCTTGTTCATTTTAGGTGTGGGTTATGAATATGGCTGAGGTGGTGACAGGGAGTGAATGTGTCAATGTGATATGCGCAGTTTGAACTTCATGGAATTCTCCTTTGTCCTTTTCACTGCTCTCTTTCCCCCCAGAAAATGTGGTTGCCTTTCTAGAACCCTTTTCCTAAATTGCATTTCACACTAGACTAGCGTAGGAATTAGGACCTGGACCAGCTCCATTTGTTTTATTATATATTATAGCCATAGTATGACATATTAAGAAAAAAACAAAAGTGATATAACTTAAAATTTTAAAAAATTATATATAAATTTTATAATACGAATATGAATTATTAAATATAATGATTAACTTTTGGATTTAAAAAATGGTTAGGCAAAGAGGAGCAATTGTACTTGCCATTTTTTTTCTTTCTTGATCAACTATGTTCACAGTTCACCAACAGTAGAAAACAAGAGGAATGATGCAATCATCTAACATAATCCAATAATTAGATGACAAATTTTTTTGGAACATAGTCGTGATTGATATCTTTTTTCTTCTCCAGCATCCTGCATGGTCCTAATTAAATTTGTTAAGAAAACAAATTTGTTTCCTCTGCACAAAACAAGGTGCTCTCGTTTTGCATTATTATTTTTGTATTTTTTGGGTGACCCCAATTAGTTAGGTCTTCGAACTGTGAAGGTTAATATTTAATTGTAATCAATTATTACTGGAGTGGAGGAGCTGTCCTAATTGTAGGATGTAGATAATCCACTTGGCTAAGGAAAGTCAGAAAAGTAGCTTTGCAGTGAGAAAGGAGAAATTAGAAGTCAAAGATGAGAACTGATATTGATTATTATTTATAGGTATTCTCTTTGATTTGGTTGTAACATGTGCTCTGTTCTATATTTGCAGAGGAAGAGAAAGCAGATAAAGAAGCTAGGTGGCTATGGCAGGAAACCAATTACAGGTGCTTAACGCTCTTGATGTAGCCAAAACACAATGGTATCATTTCACAGCAATCATCATAGCTGGGATGGGCTTCTTCACTGATGCATATGATCTCTTCTGCATATCTCTTGTCACCAAATTGCTTGGCCGCATATACTATCATGTTGATGGCGCAGAGAAGCCTGGAACTTTGCCTCCCAATGTATCAGCTGCAGTTAATGGTGTAGCGTTCTGCGGAACACTAGCAGGCCAGCTCTTTTTTGGTTGGCTTGGTGACAAGCTAGGCCGAAAGAAGGTCTATGGTATGACTCTCATGCTCATGGTCGTATGCTCTATTGCATCAGGTCTCTCTTTTGGCCACACCCCTAAATCTGTCATTGCGACTCTTTGCTTTTTCCGGTTCTGGCTTGGCTTTGGCATTGGTGGTGATTATCCACTTTCTGCCACAATCATGTCTGAATATGCTAACAAGAAAACTCGCGGAGCGTTCATTGCTGCAGTGTTTGCAATGCAAGGTTTTGGAATTTTAGCAGGTGGTATTTTCGCAATTATTATATCCTCCGCATTCAAGGCCAGGTTTGATGCTCCACCTTATGAGGTTGATGCACTTGGATCCACCGTTCCACAAGCAGACTATGTTTGGCGTATTATTTTGATGGTTGGAGCACTCCCAGCTGCTCTTACCTACTACTGGAGGATGAAGATGCCTGAAACTGCTCGTTACACTGCCCTTGTTGCCAAGAATGCAAAGCAAGCAGCATCTGATATGTCAAAGGTCTTGCAGATGGACATCGAGGCAGAGCCACAAAAGATTGAGCAATTGGAACGGGAGAAATCCAAATTTGGTTTGTTCTCTAAGGAGTTTGCTAAACGTCATGGACTTCACTTGCTTGGAACAACAACCACTTGGTTCTTGCTTGACATTGCATTCTACAGCCAAAATTTGTTCCAAAAGGATATCTTTAGCGCCATTGGTTGGATTCCTTCTGCAAAGACCATGAATGCCCTTGAGGAAGTTTTCAGAATTGCAAGGGCACAAACACTAATTGCTCTTTGTAGCACTGTTCCAGGCTACTGGTTCACAGTGGCTTTAATTGACAAGATAGGCAGATTTTCCATCCAATTAATGGGCTTCTTCTTCATGACAGTGTTCATGTTTGCATTGGCTATCCCTTACGACCACTGGACCCATAAGGACAACCGAATCGGCTTTGTTATTATGTACTCATTGACTTTCTTCTTCGCAAATTTTGGACCTAATGCCACCACATTTGTTGTACCAGCTGAGATTTTCCCAGCAAGGTTCAGGTCCACGTGCCATGGTATATCAGCAGCATCAGGAAAGCTTGGTGCTATAGTTGGTGCATTTGGATTCTTGTATTTGGCTCAAAATAAGGAGAAGGCCAAGGCAGATGCAGGGTACCCTGCAGGTATTGGGGTAAAGAATTCACTTCTTCTACTAGGTGCAGTCAATGCCTTGGGCTTCTTGTTCACTTTCTTGGTGCCAGAATCAAAAGGGAAATCTTTAGAAGAGATGTCAGGTGAGAACGAAGATAATGGAGCAGAGAGAGAGGCAGATCTATCATCATCTACTAACCACAAGACTGTTCCAGTTGCATAAGTTGGACTCGTGAACCACTGAGTTGAAAAGCTGTAGAACTCTTTTAATTCGAGAATAGGGTATACGAGAATAGGGTATATTATTCTTTGACATGTACCCTATTCTATTAAACTCTGTTTTTTGTTCTGTAGCTTAAATAATAAAGAATTCTGTGGTTGCCTCTTTTCATTTTATCAACAAACGTTCTATGGCTTCTCAACAGCCATCAAAATTGAACCAACAAGTCAGGTTCAGTTTAGTCTTGGCTCTCTTGCGTATTGTTTTTACATCAGAGTAACTGCCTCTGGCATTTTTTCAAAGTCATTTGTCGTGCGTGGCGTGTTTGTTAATGAGGTCAAACAAAATCAGTCGCATTTGAATGCCGGTTTCTGCAATTTTACAACCAGCTTTGTAAAATAATTGTAATACCTTTCCAAAACTTTTTGACTTCTATCTTCAAATCTTGTCAGGGACAAGTTTTCAGATTTCAGGGGACCATGAGCTGATCACACAATTAACTATGGAAGACATTATTGCTTCCTTTGTTTCAAAGTATTCTTTGATAGCTCTATCTATTGCTCGACTTTATTTACATGCTTTAATGTTCAAACAAATCGTTAAAAGATCCTAGCTGACTTTAATGCTATCCTTGATTCTTGGCTTTCACACGTTGTAGCTTATGCTTGACCCTGAGCCAAGGCAATTCCTCGTCAAACGATTTAGTAGACCCTATGAACGCCATGCTACATCAATAATTGAAGCCAGAGGATCAGATTAGCATGAAAACATATTCTAATATAAAATTTTTTGAAAATATCGGAGAAAAAAAGTTTTTAACTAATAATTACAGCACGCCTCTTTGCATCAATTCAAATTCAAAATCTAATTCTTATCACAGAAAATAATTGTTCATTAGCTGTTTTGTTTCAAAAGCAAGAATATCTACGTTGAAACATTTCTGATCACTAAGGAGAAACTCTTTCCGTGATCAATGCAAATCTATTGCTACTGCCCAATAAGTTACAAAAACCGAATCAGACACGGCAGACCATATCATATAGACATCATCTATTCAAGATCAAGGGCATTTTTTCCAATGGAATGGTAGCTTATATTGCCATATAGTTTATGAAGCTTAGGCCAAAGCTGTTGATCAGCCTATCATACGAGACGACGTAGGTGTAACAGCAAGCTTTTGTACAAGAAGACCGAGGCATATACTGGGGAGGTCTATCTTCTTTTTTTTCATAATATAAAAAGATAAATGAGTGGTGCGGAATTCTTTATTGGCACCCAGCAATATTGTTGCACCACCCACCAAAAACACTAGTAGCATTTGAGACCAGGACACTTAATGCAGATCTATGCCTCAATCAACATTTTATCACTGGACAAACCAAAGAGGATTAAAGAAATGGATTGAAAATCCAACTAGTTCCGGTGTGGACCATTAAAGTAATGCGTTTGAAAGGTGAGGAATATACTGAGGAAATAATATAGTTTGTTGAGGAGAATGGAAATACCAGAAGCTGCTTGTCACACAATCTTCATCAGCAATGATTTATTCATTCGATCATTCAGTTTGAGTACTAAGGAAAGCTTGTGAATGTGCATAGCCTTTGAATTTCAATGTTTTATTCTGCCCAGCAAAATTTCCGCATTATAATGGGCTTTCTTGAAGCATTTAAAACTATGCTCCTTAATTATACAGCAAAAGGCTTTTGCTATGATTCAAACTAGAAAAGCCTCCCAGCCAGGTAACTTTTGTTTCATTTTTGTGTTCGGACTCCACATTCTCTCTAAATTTCAAATTCTGGAACACAAAATGCATTAGGTAGCAAAGCAAAGAGAACAAGTCTTATAAATACCAATATTATATGTGAGTAGTTTCAGATCGTTTCCACATACCAATGACAAACTTTCTTCCTTGAGAGGAAAAAAAAGAGTAACAAACCCGAATCAACAGTAACAAGATAATGTTAGCCCATAGTTTCATATCACCTTCACCAGATTCTGGTTATTCAAGGATTACACATACAGTGTATTGTGTCAGAAAAATAATTCTGCGCATAGCTTTATGAGACAAGGACTAATTCAGAGTAGGCAAGGGGAAGAAGGCAATTCAGGAAATGGAACAATTAAACTGCAAACTGTTCAATGAGCACAGTCCCTCAACTCTTCAGGATCCATCTCTGTAGAATCAGTGACCTGAATCTCATAGTGAATACCATCCAGTTCCCTTCTAAGCCTGTCTTTTGAAGAGGCGTGGAGCATCTTTACACGGATTCAAGAGGATGAAAGAAACGTGATCAACAAAACCCCAAGTAAGAAGAAGATCTAATGGGCAACATCTTTAATGTGAAAAATCCCACATGATAAACCCAAATGTCATGTGCATAAATGACACAAAAAGGAACATATTTTTATCTCTAGATGAAATCAAAGGCTCGAAAGAGTAACCCTCTAGCCTAAAAGGTAAAAAAGTAAGACAGCAAAATGATAAGATGCCCAATTATAGTTAGGTTAAGTCTAATCAAGCAAAACGCAGGCCCAATACTGGTCAGCATTTTATCTCCGTCAGCTGCATTCCTTTATAAATGCTGCCATGGAAACCACATCGGCTCCCTTTTAATTGCTTTCTAGCTGCAGGACAATCAAATTTTCATAAAACTTCTCCGTTATGTAGGAAAGAAACAGAGAGGAAAGGAAGGAAACTGTTTTAATCTAATGGCGAAATACAATAGCACATGTTATGTGACTCAACTATTAGATAAAACTTTTTATTTCTTACCTCTTTCTTTCTTTCCTTCCTACCAATTGGAGTGTTTATAGTTTATAGTCTTTAATATTCATAAAGAACAAAAAGGGGTACCATACAGACTTATGCTCTTAAGTCAAGTGCAAAAATGAAAAAAGTATCAGAATACTCTTGAAGCGTATAACCTGCATTAGGGTAATAACAATATAGCAGCACAAGCAAGGGTATTGAAAAAGGAATGCAAACAAATAAAGCTATATATAATTTTCTCTCAAACTAAAGTACTAAAAAACTACTCCATAGGTACCCCACGTCTTCATGGCCATGGAGGTCAAAGCCAACCATTCTATTGACGCTAAAATGCCATAACCAATTCAATTTTGTCACTTGATACGTATAAGTAAATAAGATGTTTAGTTAATGACCTGTCAACGAACAAGTAAAAACTCCTATCAAATTTGTTAAATTGCAATACAAAGACAATTAAAGGCAAAATCTAACCATAAAATGAAGAAAATCTAGCTCTTTTGACAATTCTCAGAAGTAAAAAAATCAAAGTCATAGATGGCATATCGGCAATCATTCTCAGGCACAGATGTAATGCAGTCATTAAAGCTCTGAGCTGGACCACAAATTTTCTCAACCACAACGTCCCTTTTCTTTTCATCGATCCTAGATATCACATAGCGGTAAAATCTCTTCCTTTTCAGTTCCAAAAATGTATCCTTGGTGTAATCACCCACGCCCATGCCAGATACAGCATTTGGCTGGAAACAAAAGCAGATTATCATACATTTATTTGATTGATAACTTTTCATATTTTTCAAGAGATGACCACAAATGGGTTGCAATGTTGGAGATTAAACTTTTTGGATAAGTAATCATGTCCGGCAAATGGTGCCAAATTCATAAGCCAAGGTTGAAACATGTGAAGCAATCCAGAATATTGTGGAAACCACACAACATATAGAATCATGCAATTGAAGAAATGCAATAAGTTCTTTGGGCCCCGAGAATATGTAAGATAGCCTCAGAATCCAAAGTACTACATCAATTACTGAAGCTGCCAAGCTGATTCTTTAAAAGAAATAAATTTTCCTCGGGTATATTTACTTCAACATCAAATCATTTCTATTTTCTAGCACCAAATTGTAACGTTTTCTAATGAACAAGAAGCAAATTGAAAACCCTTTATTCAGTAAAACATATAATTGCTCCTAGACAGAACAAAAATCAGTCTAAGAACTAGGAAATTAAACATTTTAAAAGAAATTTAAAAATAAAAAGATGAACCCATGAAACCAAAGAAAGGAAAGCAATAGAAAACAGAGATACCGGACTGAGTACTCTTAACGGCAAGGCAGCAGAAAGAAGTTCAGAATAAAAAACTGAGAAAGAAAAAGGAAATGAACGGGCGGCCCTCGTTCAAGAGGCAAAGCCAGAGGTATATGAAAGAGAGTGTGGAACTCAGGAACTTCTATTAATAACATGGGAAAAAATATGGTGTAAAAGAAGAAGATAAATTAAAAAAAGTGTGGGGCGGCGCGCAGGATTAACGCTTGCAATTTGCATGCTTTATGGATTGGAGACGAAACTGTCACGCTGACAGGGAATCCACTTTTTAATTTTGACCTTAAAGGGACTTGGGCAAATCTCTACCGTCATGGGCCCCCCTTTAGATCATCAACGTCCATTCGACTTCTTCTAGTCGCCGCGTATCGATTTTTCTACTAATTAAAAAGTAAAAAAAACAATTTCGAAAGCAACCCGACCCAATAACCCATCTCTTTCCATTCCGACCCAAACATCTTGTTTATGGGCCCATCTTACGAACGTACAAATGACGCAATTCTGTTGGCCGGAAATCTTGATCGTACTGATAAACTGACGTAGACAACTCGGACCTTTTGAAACCCTGGCCTGTCTCTTTCAACGTTTAAATTTCGGAAACGAAAGGGATATTTTCGACAAAAGGTTTCATCATCAAGATTTGGGGAAGCCCTGATTATGTTTTAGGGTTCTAAATAATCTCAACGTTTTCTTCCGAAAATATGGATCACGATGGTAGCCGTAACGATCACATTCTTTTTCAATCGATTATTGAATTTCTATTGCCCTTTTTTATTAGAGAAGAATTGAAACCTTTGTTTTTAGGTCAAAGACGATCGACAACACCGTCAGCGATGCTAGCTTCTCTGCTTAGTAGAAGAGCCAAGCTTCAAGAAGAGCGTCGAAACATCGAAAGACAAGTAATTTCGTCCATTTCTATATTTTTTCTCCAAATTTTATTCGAATTATGTTATGTTTTATATTCCCATTTCTGGTTTTGAATATTAGTGGAAAGTTAAATGCAGGTGTATGATATGGAGACAAGTTATTTACAGGATCCAGGCCAATGCGGCTACGTTTTGAAAGGTTTTGGTGGGTTCCTCGCTTCATCTGAGAATACTGGGCTATCCTTATTGTCTTTGGTCACTTCACCTGCAGTGTTTATTCTTAAATAAGTGTCCCTCTGTTTTCTTCTTTTCTTGTTTGGTTGCATATCTACTTCTTGTCATGTCAAATGAAGTGAAATATGAAATTGGTTTCTTTAAATGCCGGCACAGAACAAATACTCACTTCAAGACATATATAGGGCTATGGGCAATGTCGACTTATCGTTCTGTTATGTAGAATTGCATGCATGTGAATTATGAAGAACGTGTGAACATTGATCGTATGAAGATGTTAGAATATGCATGAGATAGCGTTTGCTTCTTATCTATCACATTTTTCTCAACTGTTCCCTTTGGTTGGGAGGGGGAGGGTTCTATTTCTTTTTTTATTCTCATTTCACAAGGGGCTTGTATCATTTTGAGTTCAATTGCATACTCAGAGACAGATTGCTTGACGACCATTCTAGTATCTACTGAGGAGCTAATGAACTGCATGCAACTTTAAGCAAGAATCATGTTGATATTGCTGCAAATAAAAGCCCGATAATTGCATGCCCTTACAGGCCAAAGCCTTTCTCCAACTACATAGAAAATCCTGCTAAATATTTCCAAAATGGAACTAGAAATGGCTGATTTAAGGCCATCAACAAAATACGGCTCCTGTTGCAGTTCCAAACATGGTGTCACTTTATTTCAACCTAATGGATATTCTAATTTCTATGAGTCTATGACTACCTATATATGGGAATAACTCTTCATGGATTTCATGAAAGATGAAATTCTCAGTGAAATAGTTGTTTTATGTTTATTGTAGCTAATTTTCCTTAACTTTAGAGTAGTTGGATGGAGAAAAAAGAATTATCTTAGAATTTTGTTCACTAGTAGGTTTTTCCAACTGATTTTTCTTCTGCTGTTGTTTATTTTTTCAGGCTAAGGAGTTTGCCGCCGGTAGAGACGGTGAGCCTATGATATGCAGCTGCATCAACAAATTTCCCTTCTTGATGTTCATTGTTTGTTATTCCTTTGTGTTTAGCAAATGGGAAATCGGACTATGGTGCCGCTCGGTCTAGTGGAGGTTACTTTGCAAATGGGCAGTAAGTGCATTAATTTTGTATTCATTCTTAATATTATTTTGTAAAATTTACCTTCGTCTGAAATGCTTGAAAACAGCGGAGGATAATAAAGTCTTGCAAACATTTTAAAATTCTAAACCCTAATAACATAAAATTTATGTCTCTATTCTTTATTTAGAAAAACCAAGAAGCGAAGAGAACGAGACACTCTAGTGAACCAGATTTTGACTACGATGATCATCCTGACGTGACATTGTGAAACCACTTGGATCTGATGAAATACCCCTTGGCCTTCCCGCAAAGCTTTAATGTCCGATCTTATAGTGTTTGTCTCAAAACAACCATTGATCCCATAGGTTATTTACAGGATTTTGAGGTGTAAATAAAAAAAAAGCCTTTTTCATTTTTCAAGCTCAAATTGAATCAGGGAAACATATGGTAACAATGTTGAATGGCAGTGTAAATGAACCTGTACAGCTTAAAGCTTCTGAGCAAGTTCAGGCAACAAAGCTTTTGAGCGGAAAGAGGGGGGCGCGGAGACAAATCAAGGGATAATTCTCCAACGTGAACAAGACCCTAAAACTAGAGGTTTAGAACTGTTTATATGGGTGAATTTGGCATTGGATTTGGATGCCTAGAAACTTGGTTTAGAGTACAAATAAAATGCCAAATGATCCAAAATGTTTAATCTAAACTAGGTTTGAGTTAAAATTTGTCATAGTTTTTTTTTTTTTTTTTAAATACTAAAAAGCTTCTGATTTTTTAAAAATAAGTTTTTATATTTTTATTATATTTAAATAAGTTTTTATACTTTGATTTGTAAAGGAAGGATTTATGTTAAGGGCCTTTTAGGTACAAAGTAAAAGTTTAAGAATTTATTTGGATATAAATTAAAAATTAAGGGTTTATTTGAATATAAATTAAAGATTAAAGATTTATTTAAATGTAATAAAAATATAAAAATTTATTTAAATAAAATAATAAATTTCAAGGACTTTTTTTATTATTTTAACTTGTTTTGCCCGTATTTTTCACATGGTTTCTTAAAAAACAACTTTATAGCTTGACCATGATCCGAAATGGGCTTGCAATTCGGCTTTACCTGTTGTGGGCTAGGAGCCCACTGCCAATTAGTCATTAGGGTCAAAGCATGGTCTAAAGCTAATCCAAACTGCGAATCCCGTGACAAAGAAACGGCGTCGTTAATTCGAACCAGAAAGCCACAAATTAAAAAAAAAAAATAATCGTATGTGGAAAGGGGAAAGCTCCCTGTTTCGATTTCTCCGCTGACTTTCCCCGACTCTCACGCCGTGAATATCTAATCGTCCCGCGGCTTTACTAAAACGGAATTATCGTCTCGCTTCAAATGAACTTGCTGGTAACATTTCAAACTCTCTTCTCCAAAAATTAATGTGAAAATTCTTTTTTTTTTTAATTTTTATTTTGGTTTTGAAAAACAAATAAAACAGGAGAAGCTGAAGATGCAAAAGAAGGAACCGGGTGAAGAGAAACCACCCAAAGTCGAAGTCCCAGTTTACTGGCTCGAATCCTCTGATTCCGTCACTCGCCGTTACGAATTTGAACCCGACGGCTACCTCTCCGTGAGTGTATTCCAGAATTTCACTTGCCAGTCACACAATTTTACGTTTGCTAATTTAAGCTTTTTTTGCTTTCTAAAAGAGTAATGGCTTCTGGGTATTCCATAAATTTCTTTCCTTTTATTTTGATATAGGTGAAGCTGGTTAATGATTCAAGACCTGTCTACCATAGGGTGGTGGAATCTTTCCTAAACAAGTTTTTTCCCACAGGATATCCATATAGGTAAAATTCTTTATTTCTACTTGTTTACTTGTTGAACTTTTGAGATTGGAAGTAGCCTGAGAATACATAATTATTATTAATAGTTTTTTTTTTTTTCGTGTTTCATTTGGACAGTGTGAATGAGGGTTACCTTAGATACACACAATTTCGGGCATTGCAACACTTGTCCAGCGCAGCTTTATCCGTTTTATCAACTCAGGTCTCCTTCTCATACCTACAAGGATAAATTGCAGTAACAGTTGTTTATAGAGGTTTTCTAAATTTCATTTAAAAAAAAAAAAAGAAAAGAAAGGAGGCAAAGGGCTGTTTATTTACAAAAGTGAATACATTCGTCATTATTTTGGAATGTGACTATCAGCATATCATATGAGGTCATTTCATAAATTCTCACTCCTTTGCAGTCATTGTTATTTGCTGCAGGCTTGCGACCTACACCTGCACAGGCAACTGCAGTTAGTTGGGTAAGCTTTTATTTTAGTTGAAGAATTCATATTGAATATGCAGTCCAATCTGTACTTTTAGGTACAAAGTTTTTGGCTTGTTTTGTTGGTGAGCAGATATTGAAGGATGGAATGCAGCATATGGGAAAGCTCATTTGTAGTAATTTGGGTGCAAGAATGGACTCAGAACCAAAACGATGGAGAATTTTGGGTTTGTATTCTTATTTCAGTTTTTGCTGAATGTCAACTACTTTTTACTTGATGCTACTCATGTTATATTGAATATTTTAAATCAAGAAGGCTTTAATATTGCAGCTGATGTGCTCTATGATTTGGGTACTGGTTTGGAAGTTCTTTCACCTCTATGTCCTCATCTTTTTCTTGAAGTAGCAGGGCTCGGTAATTTCGCTAAGGTATACTCTTATTCCTGGTTAATTTACTTTTCTGAAGACCGACGTCCATTAGTTTTGCTTGAAAATTTGCCTCTTTGGTTTAGTTTAAACATTATTGTACAACTACATACTATAGATACTACTCATTCCCCCAATTAGTACTCCTTTGTTGAATTTCGCTTCTCTATGTTAAGGGAATGGCAGTTGTTGCTGCAAGGGCAACTAGATTACCTATATATTCTTCATTTGCCAAAGAAGGGAATCTTAGTGACCTATTTGCAAAAGGAGAGGCTATATCAACACTTTTCAATGTTGTTGGAATAGGAGTTGGGATTCAGTTGGCATCTACTCTTTGTTCATCGATGCAAGGGAAGGTATTAAGATTTCAATGATCTCTAATTTCAGTCATTTATTTTAGTTCTGCTAGTGATGCAAGAGAAGGCACAGTAATATTGGGACTTGTATGCTAATTCTTTCTGCTCTGTATCCTCCTGGGAGCTTTTTACTTTACATGCGTGTGTTAATTCTTGGCAATTTCTGATTGCTGATAATGAATAAGATATTGCAGTTGGTTTTTGGGTCTCTTCTTTCGGTCGTACATGTATATAGTGTCGTTGAAGAAATGCGAGCTGCTCCAGTCAATACATTGAATCCTCAGAGGACTGCCATGATTGTGGCTGATTTTATAAAGGTTTGTTTTGTATGGTTTGAATCAGTACTTTCATGCCTGCTTGTATTTTTCATCTCTCTGATTTTTCCAATTGAACTTAACTCAGACTGGAAAGGTATCTGGTCCTGCTGATCTCAGATACCGGGAAGATCTCCTATTTCCTGGACGACTAATTGAAGATGCTGGGAATGTGAAAGTAGGAAGGGCTTTGCGCAAGGTTGTCAAGCCTTCAAAACTTGAGGAATGGAAAGAAATATTCCCTGAAGAGAAGTTTGTTTTGAGTCATGGAAATAAATGGACTGACATGTTGTTAGAGCATAATGCTATAGGAGAAGATGCACTAAGAGGATGGCTAGTTGCTGCGTATGCTGCAAGTATGGAGAAGTCCTTCCATGAGCCTAGTGTTAGTGTCTTGCAAGATGCTTATGACAAGATGAATAGTATGTTCACTCCATTTTTGTCTGAGCTGCAGGCCAAAGGTTGGCATACTGATCGTTTTCTTGATGGAACAGGAAGCCGTTTTGCATTTTAAATAGTATTTCATAGTTTACCCAACACTCTACTCCCAAGAAAGAAGATATACATTGCAGAAACTGAGCAGGAACAGGGGTCAAGGCCATTTTTGCATTTTACAAATAGGATTGCATTTGTTTTAGAGAGGTAGTGATGTAACTTGCACTAACATGGATATGAATTTTTGAATGAAAAATACAGGGAAAATCATCACTGTTTGTTGTTTAATATGTTGTATTGGGCTCCATAGATTATAACAACTATTAACATGAACTAACCGCTTGAGAAGGAACAGTGGTCGGGGGTGGTGTATACTGCAATCTAGAGTCATTAACTTATGCAGCATATTCCTTGTTTAACTTCAATATCTCAAGTTTAATTTGTTTTATTAAATATTCCCTGTTTCTGCTGTGTCAATGTCACTTCTCCAAGTACTTTAAAGAATATATATATAAGCACAAAAGTCAGTCTTAAACCTGGTCTTCAAAGTCCACCACAAGCATATGTACAGATTAACGCTTAACTGGATTTCAAATATGCGGGTCGCTGATAACTCATAAACAACTCATTTCCAAACATCTTTCTTTCGGTTCACACACTTATGAACACATTGATTGATTTATACTTCTGATTTTACTCATTAAATTACTATTTAACTATATATATCTTTAAATAAAGAAAAATATTGTGACAGTAGGAGGATGCACTTTTTTAGCTAAAAGTAGATCACATCGAAATGGAAAATAAACTAAATGCCATTAAATCGAAATGGAAAATAAACTAAATGCCATTAAATTTTCGTTCGTGTATTTTGAACGATGTTTTTTATATTTAAAATTATCAAATTTTAAATTTTAATCATTAAAATTAAAATTTTAACATTTTATTAAAGGATCACGTCACGTGCATGTTGCTTTGAGTGTCCTTCTATAACACTATTTTTTTTTTCTTTTTTTTTCCCCTTAAAATCTTACGCTTTTTCATTTCGAAAAAAATGTCAAATTTGGCGTTTAATGAGAATAATATTTGGGATAAGGACGCTGTAGATCATGACCCATACAAATGGGGCTACCGCAGCTGCTATTAATTAAGCACATGTCATATAGGAATTATTGGGAGGCTATGTTTCATCCACCTTCACATATTGTATACACCTTTATCTCACCTTAATTGAAAACCTAAGTAAAATTTGCACGCTTGTGTTTGTAAAAAGCCAGAAACTTTGCATTTTAAAAGAAGAAAAAAAAAAAGGACAAAAAGGCAGACGTACCCCATTGTCAAATACAATAAACCTTGTTTTTAAACTATCCAGTACAATGATTAAAAACGCACTGATTAAGACTCATTTTTTATTATTTTTATGATTTGATTTTTTAAAAAATAAAAGGTAAAAATGTTTTAAATATAAAAATAATAGTAACATTTTGAAAAGTTGTGATTTTCCTGTTATATTAAATAGTTATACACTTGCATATAATATTACATCTTAATCATTTGTTCATTTTTAACCAAATACAATTACTTTGATTACGATTATAACACATTAAAATTTTCGTGATATTCCTTACATACTCCAAGGTCATTATTCACATTAGATTATCTAAATTAAGCTAGCATGCATGCGCAAAAAGAGTTTTCTTAGAAAGATTGATGCAGCAAGCAATGAACATACAGTGGAGATTTGATCATAAGAAAAATAGAGAGACGAGACGTGCAAAGCAAACACTAGATAAATGATAAAATCCCGTATATTTTAAATGGTTTGAAGCATGCATATCAAGATTTTCATAGAAACCGTATCTAGTTATAGTGTCGGGGATCAGCTTTTTCTTTACCGATGAAAAAGGAGCTCACTCGTGTTGTTAGGAATTTGTTAAGGCTAGCTAGCTCGATTAATCAGGTCCCCTTCAAAAGCTTGATTTAAATATTTATCCCACGGACCAAGTCTTAAAAGATTAAAATGTTCTGCAAAAGGAAGCTAGTGAAAATTCTATGTATTTGTGAGACAAAAATAAGAGACTTTTTACCTAATTAATTTGTAACTTGAGTGTTGGAAATTTGGACTTGCATATAATCATGAGGGTTTTTAATAATATTCTTTTTTATAATAATTTAAGTAGACTAACCCATTTAAATTACAATTTTCTCTTTGACAAAAAATTATTTCTTAATAGCAGACTTTTTTTACGCAAACATCATAATTAGGAATTTAGGTAATTGTTAAATATGCTTAAGGCATTGTGCCAACAGAAAAGAGATTGTCCTTTGGAAAAAAAAAAAAACTATATAACATAAAACTGTTAAGGTTTAGGCTAAGAGTATTTAATTGTAACATTTAATTGATATATGCTAAGATTTTTTTTTTTATATTTGATTTTGATTGATATTAATTAAGGTTTGACCATTAGAATTAAAAATCTAGTACTCGTTAAGACTATTCAACTGCTAAACTATATTACATGACCCAAGTCCTTATTTTTAAAATTTTTGACTTGCTTTTATTATCTCATATGATTAATTTCAGAATGAATTTTCTGTCAAAAAAATTTTCATAAAGAATTTTAATTATCTGTGTAAAAATATTTAATAGTCCAAGCAAAAATTTTTGGTAACAATTAAGGCCTGAAAGTTACATGTTTGACCCACGCATGAGCAGGGAGAACCAGCTGCTTTTCTTGACCTTTGCATTTTCAACACTATTAATATGCCAATTTCCGAACAATGCCAAATATATATATATATATATATTTATATATATATATATATATATATTCTTCTTTCCTCTTTTTCTGTCTAAATATTATAGTATATAGTACCAAATTCGTCAAATTCAACTCCACGGGTTCTAATTAAGCATGCCAAAAAAAAAAAATTTATGAGATATAATTACACTATGGGTTATAATCCAAAGCAAAATAGAAGATCACATAAAGGTTAAAACAGAGATACAAAAGGGAAGGGAAAAAGATGGTCCTGGAAGTACTGTAATGAACTGGGCTTGTGGTTCAATTTTGACCAAGTAAAACACTAAAATCTACTTCTTGTGTTCCAATAAACATTTGAAGTACAGTTGTTACCAAAATATTTAAGCACTCAATGCCACCGGTTGAATACTTGAAATTGAGCTGAATTTGCATGAAAAGTTCATCCACTTGCGCACATAAAAAAAGCATATGATATGTCCATCGTTTTCTTAATTTCATCACTCGACCCCTCCCTTCCCATCCCATCACCACATTATACCTCAATAAGAGAGTGATCCGAAGAAAGGAGATTTCCTAGAAATCCTGGGCGTGGATCTGCCTTTTGAAAAAAATATGAAAAATATAATACTAATAATGTAATGGTACACTTTGGACTTTTTTTTTTTTGGTACAGCCCAACTTTTGCTTTTGGTGTTTTTTTGACTCAACTCTTATGATGTACTAATATTTATATATAACCCCATACATACTGTTATTTTTAGCTTACATAATCAGTTATTGGCATCTCAAAACAGAGCTAACAAGGTAGCTAAAGTTCGTCCAGCTTTGAAAGCGAGAGAGAACAATGGTGAGAGCTCCATGCTGTGAGAAAATGGGATTAAAGAAAGGTCCTTGGACCCCTGAAGAAGATCAGATTCTCATCGATTACATTAAACTCTATGGCCATGGCAACTGGCGAGCACTCCCAAAACAAGCCGGTAATTTACTTGTCTAACAAAAATGCATCAGATTTTGACAACCTTGATTTGTTTCAAAACAAGCTTATGACTCGTTTGTTTGATCAAATTTTGATTATCTTGGTTTTGATATTTTGCTCGTCTTTTCTTCTTGTTCTTTTCCCAGGTTTATTGAGGTGTGGAAAGAGTTGCAGACTACGTTGGACAAACTATTTGAGGCCAGACATTAAACGAGGGAACTTCACCAGAGAAGAAGAGAATACCATAATCAACTTACATGAAACGCTTGGTAATAGGTGCGTATTGATTGAATTCCTCTGTTCCCAGAAACTAGTTAAACTTCTACTATTATCTCACTTTCAGCCTCATCATACCTTGAAACAAAACATTATCCAAAACCAAAATAGTAGGATTTAAGTTCATCCATTTTGATGTATATGAAGATCAATTAAGGTATTGAGCAGTGAAACTAAATTGATTGATCCATCAAAAAAAAAAAAAAAAAAAACTGAGTGATTCTTTTGGATAGTTTCTAGTTTTATTTATTAGTTTGAACTTTGAAGATATTTGAATACGCTGTTAATTAATAGAGCACATTGGTTTGATAACCATTTTTAATATCAATTTGGTATTAATATAATCCTAGAAACATGTGGGACTGAGAAGATTCCTTGCTGTGATTGTCGAAATGCATGTTATAAACACGTTTCAAAAGTTCAACTATCAAACAAGATCAGCACTGTGGTCACTGCATTTAATTTTTCTCCTTCTGACACTAAAAAACAAGTCTTTGCATCAGTTATTTCATTTAAAAATTACTGCCAAAAGCTGAATCTGATTCTCTTTTGGTCTTTCTTCGCTTTTTTCAGATGGTCGGCAATCGCGGCGAGATTACCGGGAAGAACAGACAATGAAATTAAAAATGTATGGCACACCCACTTGAAGAAGAGGCTGAAACAGAACCATGGCTTCAATGTCAACGAGCACCAAGTCATTGATTCATCCAAAGACACCCAAAAGGAACAAGAACCCGTGAATTTTCTAAGCCCTGTAACTGCAGATAGACCAGGATACAGGGAAGTTTCCCCACCAGAATCGAGCAGCGAGGTTTCCACATTAACGACAAGCGAAAACAATAGTAACATGTGCATGAAGATTGAAATGCATGAAGATTTCTCTGAAATCGACGAGAACTTCTGGTCAGAAGTATTGTCGGCTGACAATTCAAGCATGGCCAGCGACTTTCAAGTTGTTGGTTCTGACCCACAACCTCATCAATACTTTCCAAGCTCCCCACTAGCATCATTGGAACCAGTCAATGACTACTATGCTTCAAATCTATATGATATTGATACCAACGTGGATTTTTGGTATGATCTTTTCACAAGAGCTGGGGATTTACCAGAACTACCAGAAATTTGAGTAGTGGTATAATTAACTTATTGTTCACGTCAACTATAAACCTTTTTTTTTTCTTTCAATTTTTACCCTCATTATTATTCAGGTTGGAATGAAGATAAAAAACAACATCATTTAGCTTGTTGAAGACCATAAAATGAAAACAATGTTCAACGATCTTGAAATTGTCAAAACGTGCAAATTCATACACTCCAAAATAGAATAATTAGGGCAGCAATAACCAACTTGCAGTGCTTGTCAAACAAAACTACAATTAATGTGCGTATTTGTCAAAGACTGGCATATACTTTTATAATCTTTTTCATACTTTCATACAAAAAAGTAGTGCTTGATCAGCTGTGAAGCCAAACACTTGAGTTCATTAATTTAAAAAAAAAAAAAAAAGCTTACATTCACATCATGATCCATGAAAACAATTAATTTCAAGATATACTTTAAATTATGAGTAATAATTGCAGGACGAAAAGCTCATTTGCACGCTGGGAAACACATGCGATTAAGTTTTAGAAGACTACATATTTTCTGTTAAAAACAAATTCATTACTTTGTACTCAAGATAGATTTACTTGCAGGTTAGTAGGATTCTGCCAAACATTTCGGCAGAATATATATATTTGCTTGAAAGATTTAGATGAAATTTTAATGCAAAATTCATAAAATTTTTTATTAAAATGTTTTAAAAAATTAAAATCAATAAATTAAAAAATTTTATTATAAAAATAAAGTATACAAATTTTCAAAATTTTTTAATAAATATTAATAAATTTTTTAAAAAGGTATTTTTAGCAAAAAATTTTGATAAAATATTTACAATTGAAAAAACATTGATCAAGTTTTAATTATAAACTACATTTTCAATAATATTTTTCACATATTGTTAATTATTTTCATTGAATTTTATCGGCATAGATTTTTTATTAAAATTTTTATCAAATTATTTTTAATAAAAAATTTTACAAATTTCACTTAAAAAATTTAAAATTCTTCCCTTGCCACTAAACAAAAAGAGATATAGGCATTTTAAAATGGCCACTAATGTTAAAATGAGTTGGTTGAATTTATAAAAATCAAATATTTTACTTTTAAAATATAAATTTGATTTTTACTGCAGTAATACTTTTTAATGACCTAGTTATAAATCTAATATAAATTATCCTTAAAACCTATAATACCCCTGAATCAAAACTGAAAAAATCTCCTCACCTTAAATTTTTTTTCTTTTTTTTACAAAAAAATGGCCAGTAGACTTCAATTTGACAATGACTAGTTAGTTGCTTTTCTCAATTCTCTAAGACAAAAAATTTGAATAAGTATTTCTTTATTGGTCTACAGGCTCCACCAAATTATTCAATAATGGGCGATAGATTTTGTCTCAGATATGGAGTTATCAAAAATATATTTTAAAACCAGATCATAAAAGAAAACTTGATTTTCTCAACGTGATCATTGTATACTTGCTTTCCAACAAAGAGATTATTTACTCAAGCAATCGATTGGGGTAGGGGTGGGAGAAAGAGAGAACAATATGAAATAGACACCAATGCTTTGAATTTTATGATGGTGATTACATAGTTTGAGTTTGAGTAGATTTCAGAAATCATTCAACCGATATACATTCCATGCATCTATTCAAGCATGCAGAAAAGGTGAAAAAATAAATCTTTTAATTCAATAGTCTTATATTTTCACGGTATCTAAGGCATATGAAAGCCTTTATATTTTAAGATATAGATGAATTCATCGATCTTTGAAATTTATCATGATCAGGAAAGATAAATCATAATTTTTTTTAATTTAAAGGATGAAATTTGAACTTAACTTTTAAAAAAAAAAACACATACATCTATTAAATCAAATATCCGAAAGCAACTAAAATGTTCTTTTGACAAACACAATACTTTTATAATTACCTGGTTAACTCTGCACTTTCATTTTTGTTTTAAAATAGATTAGAACAAAATCAATGTTTATAACAATAACATATTAATGTATAAATTAGTGGCTATGCTTACCTTAGATGCTCATATTATATTTGGTTTATAAGATAATAAAAAGGATAAGATGATAATTATTTTATATTATATTTAATTTATATTTAAAGAAAAAGATAAAATTATAACGAAAATTAATCATGTTCTTAACATAAGATAATTTTATTATCCGAAACTTATATGTCTTATTATACGCTTAAAAATTATATTAGCAATTTAAATTTTATAAACTTTGAAGAAAATAATTTTAATCAATAAATAAAATAATTTTATTTTAATTTTTACACACATTAAATATAAAATATAATAATATTATTAATTTATTTCTATTTATAATATCATTTTATCATATCTTATTATATCATATCACAATCTTATGAATCAAATATAATCTTTAAAAATTAAATAATTAAAACATTGTAAGCTTCGACGATGGTAGCAATAATTTTTTGTTGTATAAAATATAGGCAAAAAGAGTAGAGTTGCTTCATCAATATTGTAGCTAAAGGTGACGAAACTGCTGCAAGTCATCCACAAATAGGGTTGAGATAGATTAATTAAAGATGTCAATAGATAAGGTATGGTAAAATAAATTATTTTTTATTTTCATTTCTGTAATTTTATATTATTTTTATCTTTGTATTCATATCTAACGAGTATTTTAAATATATCTATATCTTCATTCTTATAAGTATTTAATAGACATGAATAATTTTTATACCTATGACTTTTAACAAAAAGTAAAAAATTAAAAATTTTTTAATTTTTAATTTTATATTATATATTTAAGTAATTTTTTTTATAAATATATATTTTTCAATAAAAATATATTAATTTAATTAATTTAAAATAATAATTTATATTATTTAATAAAAAATTATATATTAAATATATATACATGATATGAATAGGTATAATATTATATATATATATATTTTTTTTTATCTAATAAAATTTTAAAATTATATTCAGCATCGTATTTGTACTCGTAATCTCATATCCACTTTCATTTTCATTTGGATATATATTTTTCATTGGATGTTTGATAAGATTCGTATCACTAACCGTGAAGACACCGAAAAGAAAAGTAAGAACTAACTAATAAGCGCTACGTGCCATAATTTCCTGACGCTCCATTTCAGCTCGGAAACTTGCAATAAATTCCTCTGCTCTTGCATCTATTCCATGCAGTATAGGCGACGCCAGTCCTATCGATTCCCACATATCATCTCCCACGCTAGATTTTTCATCTCCCTGCTTTTCTCCATCCTTGCTTGTTCCTGCCTCTGCACCAGCAGCTGCAGCTTGATCAATGAACTTCACATTCTTTTCCCTTTCAACAGTATCACTCTTCTCTGATGGTTGCTGAGGATTATAGTACCCCACCAGTTCAGTGATAGGAGCCTCTTTAAAGAGCTTATCTATGTAAACTGGCGCAGCTTTATTTTTGGAGACGTAGAAGGGAAGACCACGACGTCGCCTGTTGCGTTGAAGGCGTTGCCCCAAGAAAAGTGAAGGCCTAGTAGTTTTCGAAGCAGCTGTTTGCAGCCGATTATTCTTGGGTTTTTTGATAGCTTTGGATTTGTGAAGTTTATGTAGTCTGGTTTGAAGTTTGGAAGTAAAGCTTTTCCATGCCTTCTTAGCTGGAGGAAGACTTATGCTTAAACAAGACATGAACAAAACAGAGAGTGAGAGATAGGGAGACATGCAAATGCAATAACAATGTAGAAAAAGAGGGGGTTAAATTGCTTCTTTATAAAAACGGATAGAATCTTTGTCGTTACCATTTGTTACATGATTCGTGTTCTCTATCTGGCAACTTCATGGGACTCGCTTAGGTCTTACGCTAACTGCATATTAATCAGAGAGTGGGAAATTGGTGGCTGTAAAGTAACTCTGTTTATTTAATTAAGAATAATAAGCCAGCTTTGATCCTAAGCTAATTAAGACAACAAGGTGGAAATTACATTTATCCTTGACTAAACCATACACAATTGGATACTAATTTAGATTCTTCTTACCCCTTTCTTTCAATTAGTAGTATAAAAAATTGAAACTATAATTGAAGTTTACTGAAATGTATGTAAAATCTATACTGATTATGAGATTATCAACTTATATAAGAAAGGGGAGAATAGAGAAATGCAAATGAAAATATTAAAATTTAAAACAAAGGAAATTGGTGGTCCAGATAGACAAATAAATTACAGATATTATGATTTAAAATTTGAATTTATTGATGATACCTCTTAAGAGTTGCTTAGAATTTTGAATATAGATTAATTCGACTAATAGTTAACTTTTGAATGACATGGAGAACAAGTAAATCAAAGCCTTAAACCTAATTGGCCCTAAAATTGAGTGCACTTAATCAAAATGGTTCTAAATCTTTTTTTGTTTAGTTTCTCCTTTTTGAAGTCATCTTTAGATCAAGGTGACTTAATAATTGGTGCTCTTCTAGACCCTTGTCACACTAGTATTTATTCCCTTACGCAAAAAGTACCTCCCTTATGCAACCCACATATTCACAGGATACCTTATATAGGTGGTTAGACGGAGGCTATGAATGGCCTTGTCTCAATTTTTTTTTTCTCAATCCGTGAGAACAATCCATCCAAACTCTTGCCTTTCCATTTTCCCAACTTTTCAAAGATGCTTTGGTTGGTTAGTTGCGTATAAGTTGAAAGTATCCCAACAGCAAATGATCATTACTCATTGCCGACAGATATTGAAGGCCATATTTCCTTTATGCCTAACCATCCATCAATATCTTTAAGTTAAGCTAAGCATTACCCAACAATATATCTACCAAGTCAAAAAGGAAAAAGGCTAACAATCTCAGGCAAAGGAATTCCTATCATGTTAATCCATCCGATGGCAGCATGGTTGAAATTCCTCTACCATTGAATGCAAAGAAAACTGCATTAAAAAAAATTGTCAGGCAAACCTGATCCCAAAAATAAATGATTACGAATATGCTCGGTAAAAATTCCTTTATTTGCTCAGCTAAAATTCTCCCTGGCAGAGAAACTAACAAAATCCAGAGAGGATCAGCAGAAAAAAATATATCAAAGCAGGAGGGGTCAAATCATACAACATCCATTAATAAGAGGATATCGACCATATAAGGAACTAGATGAGGGCTTTTACACCCATTTGTTGCATATCTCTAAGCTTCCATATTGGGTAGAGGGCACCCTCTCCAAGTTCTTCTACATCCACTTGCTGCATGGCCCAGGCATAATACACAGTGTGGATTGTATCCTAGTAAAAAGACAAAATTTTAGAAGATCTGAATCAACACATTGTTAATGTTTACGATACACGAGATGTTAACTCAAAGATCAAAATCTAAAAAAGCAAAGGTATGGACAGAATACTGACACATCTCCAACTGATTTATAGAATACCTAAGTTTCAAATTATTGTAGTTAATTTCATACACAATTTAACCTAGCAGCCTCTGTACAGATAATTATACATAGATGACCAGAAAAGCATGAAAAACAGCAAAATAGTTTGTCATTTACCTTCCCTCCTTCCGTTATCTTACCCTCTCTATCACGTATGCAGTGGATCTGCTGTGTTTGAAACTGTGAACATTGAAAAAGCAAAGGAAACCAGAATAAGCTTCAAAAACCTTCAGTAGCTTAAAATTAAGTAAGAAAGAAATTGAATCAGAAGAAGAAACTCATACTGCCAAAATGATAATTGGGGAATTCCCCATCATTTTGGTCTCTCTAACTTCTGCATCAGATACATGTAGAATCTGCAGCAAAAGTAGGCCCAAATTAGTAACAGCACTTCATATCAAGAACATATTTTAACATGAAATTTATAACCAACTCATCCTGACTGCTATCTGCAACCTGACTTTTACAAAGGCCATGAAAATTTATAACCACATTGGGTTATATCAGGTCAGTGTTTTCTTACTGATTTTTGTTACAACAAACACCAGAAAACTTCACACAACTATGCTTAAAGATAACCATCTTATCAAAATCCATGTAATAGGGCATTAGCATATACAGCATTTAACAAAATCATCACTTTCTTACCTTGTTATTGAAAAACATGCCATGGCTCCTATAAAAAGTATGCTCAGCTTTGCACCTGTCAATAACTTCAGGACTGCAATACTTCTGCAAAGTTTCAACGTCTCCCTACATGTATAAAATTTTTTGTTTATTATTAGAGACTGCCACCATCTGAAACATCCTTTTTATAGGAAAAGATAAAACATTAGACTATAGGCCAGCAGAACCCCATACTCACTTTTACATATGCGTTAAGGACAGGTCTGATAGATTCCTGAACTTCCGCCACAAACTCTGGCAATGAGAATGACCTACTCCATGCACCAAAGAATTCCGTGGAGTTATCAAGACAAGGAACAAAAAACACTGAAGCAAAAAAAAAGGAGAGGTGACCATACGGATCTCGTCGACATATTTCTTTGCATGATGCTGCAGCATCTGTTTCTTGAAAGATACTCTCATTTATACTGTCAAAACAAGAATTACGGAATCAGCATCCAAAATATCACATCAATAACTCTCTAAATCTTGTGTTGAAAGATTACTTGCAAAGTAGCAGGGGGAAAGAATAAAAACACAAGAAGAATTGAGTAGCATACTCTTGAATTTTGTGAACAATGGGGTTATCACTGGTCTCCCATCTTTCACGCATATCCTCTGCAATCTGCCAATTCAGCCATGTAATAATTTCAACCAGTTAAATGAAAAAGTATCTGTAGATTTTTTTTCCAGATTTCACAAATTGCAAAGGCAATAAATAGAGCATGCATCATAACCAGAATAAATAGTAAGCAAAAGAACTAGAAGGACAGTGGGCAAGAAAAAGGCAAAAGGATGGAAACTTACCTCTTGGCCCTTTGTCAAAACAGGTTCACTAATCCCTCTAACATGCTTGAATAAAGGATGACCTTGCATCTATGCATAAGAGAAAAAAAATCCATTCAAATAAGCAGAAAAACATAAGTAATAGGTGAAACCTTTTAGTGATATTTCAGTAAACTCAGTACCGACAATAAACTTACCTTCCCTTTGAATGCCTCCCACTTTTTACTCCAACGGGACTCCTTAGATGGCAAAACAACAATATCAGTTCTTGTACTTCTTTCAGCTGTTGATGAGGGAGGGGGAGCATACTCCAGGTGCTTTCTCTTACTTGGATTACCACTTAACTCATCCTTAACAATGTCATATCCCTTCTTTGCTAAATCAACAACCTTTGCTTCCTTCAACCTTTGGAAAGCCAAAGAAACCTTCGGAGAAGAAATGCCTGACTTAAATTTTCCAAATATAGTTTCTGCAGTTTCACCAGACCCAGACTGCTCATATTTCTGTTCCCCGGATGATGCCTTACCTCCATCCTTCACATCAGCAACATGCTGAGCTGAAGTACTGGTTGACTGTGAAGACTCTTCCTTTCCAATCCCAAAAGTTTCCTTAACCTAAATCAATAATATGGAGTAACTTATTAAAAAGTGGTCATGGACATACTTAGTAGGCCAACTATCTGAATGAAAAGTAAACCTCCTCTTTGGCAGCTGAGATTGTCTCCTTCATGTTGGCAGAAACCTACAAACAACATAATACCAATCAAATATGATTTAGGTATCACTAACATACAGAACAGCTCCATCAAAGATTCACATTCAAAACAGACAAAACCTGCTTGACATCTCAGAACCAAGGGTTAAATTACAATGAGAAACACAATAATTTGAACTAGCAACAAGAATACCAGAGCTGATTCACCTCATATCAATCCACATAGTGAAGAATATAGAATCTAGATTACCTGAACTGTGGCTGAACATAAGAGAGGCAACCATGGAAATCATCATAGGGTAACACATTGCATACGAACAACATATGTATGTACTTGTATATATACATTAACAGAACAGTGCAATATAAAATCTATGGGAGGTTTTTTTCAGTAATCATCCTTAGCTTTTTATCCAAATCAGCCCAATGTCTAAGCAATAGTCAAATACTAAAGTCAAACTTGATGATTAAGCCGGATTACAAGTTAATTCCACAAAATGTATTGGATACAAAATACACAAGGAAAGATAAGTATAGTTTTTGGGTATCAAGTAACTTCCATAAATATGCATTAGAAGGAAAAACAATTTGGAAAAAACACATAATAGATACATAACATAGTGTCAGCATAATTAGTTTGGGTAAATAAACAACACATGCAAATCCCTGAAAGAACTATAGGAAGAGAAGATATATTTGAACCTAACCTTTTTAGCCGTAGCTTCAGCCTCTGTCCACACACCATCCACCTGTTTGTAGAGCTGCTCAGTTGTCTGCTTCCTTCTGCATTCGCAATTTCACCATCTCAGGCACTATGTCTTAGCCTATTTCCCTAATAAGACTAATATTATGCAAAACATAAAGTGTTTATTGTAATACAAGAAAAAGTACCTAAATTTCAGCTCTTCTGCTTTGCCCTTTAGTTCCTCAACCGAGTGTTGAAATTCCGGATTTCTACAATATTTTCATAATGTCCCAAAAACATAATTAATCAACAAAAAAAAAGTTAAGGAAAATTATTTTTTTAACCTTCTCAAAATGAAAAGTATTAGTAGGTTCAAAACACCTGTTAACTTCGCTCTTAATTTTCTTAGAGAACTCATTGAAAACACTGAACCGTCGATTACTGGAGTACCCATTTCCGGATAGTAATCTTAGTCTCAAACCCTAAAACACCAAACCCCCACCCAAAAAAATCAAAGATTAATTGGAAAAAAAATAACAAAAATTTACAATCTTCCAGAACCAAGCAAGCAGCTTTATACCTGTTGAGACGTGAGGCGAAGAAAAAGGGGCTGTCTTGCAATGAAAAAATCTCGAACCAGCTTTCTAGTAGCCATCAACCAAATTTTCTTGAGAAAACCTTGTAGGGTAAAAAAAAATAGGTGGTCTTCTTTTCTTTACATATATATAATGTGGTACAAAATTGGGGTATTTTTCTTGTTCTGGAAAGTAATTAATTCTTTGTTCTTGGCAAACAAGAAAACAATTAAAAATTTACGACAGACAAGCAAACAACTGAAAAGTTAGAGGTTGTTTGGTTAATGGGATAAACTAAAATTTATTTTGTTGCAAAAAGACTTTGAAATTAAATGGTACTCTTGCCTAAAGAGTAAAACTAGGGTTTTCACTTTTCGATTAGTGAAATTATGTGAAATAATAATTTAGAATTTAGATTTATTAAACGTAAAAAAAGGTTTAAAAATATTACAGCATAGAGCAAATCTAAGAAAGTTACTAAAAATAATTTGACCTATAATTTGTGCGTGAATTATATATACTAGCTAGCAAGTCCACGCTATCTTGTGGATTTGTTTTAACTATGAAAACATTACAACTTAAAACTAACTTGGAGCATGAAACAAATTGACTTTGTTCAACCAATTGATTAAATTGCACAAAGGTCAAATCTAAACTTGAAACATTCAGAAATGAAAATCTTAGTTGCCAATTGTGAAAAGTACGTCAGGATGTCAATAAACTAAATCTGTGGGTTCAAGAAACATTAAAATTTATTTAATCCTATTAGAAGCCTACAGTGAACTACAGAATCAATAAAAAAGATCGGTACAACTATGGATACAAACACGAGTATTGCACACAAAATTGTAATTTGACTATATCATAGTTGAATTTACTCGTGCAATTATAACTCAGTGTGAATATGTGCTTAAAAGTGCAAAGCAACGTACTATTTGTGAAAGTTTATAACAAAACATAGTCTTATCATAATGTAAAAGTTTTTTTAACTTAAATAAAGCATCTAAAATTGTTGGTGCAGCAAACTGACACAGATGAATAAAGTTTATAAATCCTCAAGAATCCCACATTTCAGTTCTTAGGTAGGAGAATCCTACAAACTTTAGAACAAAATATATCTTTGAAAAATTGACTCACCAGGATCTTCCTGAGTTGCGTAAAAGCAAAATCTGCAGCAGCTTCATTAGACATTTTCTCAATGTCTCTGGCCAGCTGCCTAGCAAGCATATACACAAGGACAGAATGACCCGTGGCCTTGTGAAAGGTTTAGAAAATAGCTGCAATAATAAATTGTCACAGCAACAACTCCTAAAAACTCCATATTAGCCCAAAATACCTTGTTAAAGTGCAACGCTATTTTATTTTCAATCCCCACTCCAAGGTCATCAATGGCTGCTTCCTTCCACTCTGGAAGCCTTGGTTCGAACATGATGCTTTTGGCTTTTAGTACACCTAGAGGAACATCAACAATAACAGCATCTGCCACAAAAATAGTTCCATCTTCCACAGTAACCTTCACTCCATTGTAGCACCTTACTATTTTTGTAACCCTAGGACAAAATACATTACAACGATAAACATGAACTGATAAACTCACATCTATGCTACAGAACATTCAAACTAGTGAACTAATTATTCAAGTTAAATTACCTGTGGCTCAAGCAGATGTCAAGACCTCTGGCAATAGTGTTTATGGCAGGAAGATAGCCACTGATCATGAGCCCGTGACCACCAAGTAACAGCTCTTCCTGCAGATAGAAGATAATAGAAACAAAAAGTTGTAAGAAGAAGAACGTGCAAGTTTATAAGTTATAGGCAAAAGAAAGGAAAAAAGTCAATGTAGTTGAGAAGCATCATAATAAGCAACTTAAAAGCAGTTTCTAAGCAAAGGTTAGAACATGATTTAATTTCACAAAATGAAATTATAAGTTCAATGCCTCAAGTAGCAATTTTTAATTTAATTTTTACTAATTTTCTTTATATGCTAATAGTAACTAAATTTGTGGGTTCAAGATGTCAGGATGTCAATAAACTGAATCTGTAGGTTCAAGAAACATTTAAATTTAGTTAATACTTTTGGAAGCCTACAGTGAACTACAGGATGTCAAGATGAATCTCTGCCCTTAAACCCTGATTGAACTTCTAGACACAGTATGTCATAGAATTTACATACAATCTCCATGTGCATAGATTTAAAGTGGGCATAACCAATTGATTTCTTTGATCCATTAAAGATTTCAACTCATCTAGTAGGTCTGCACTATCTTTTTTTTTTGTTACTATTCTTTCTTTAAGGTTTTCTATAGGAGTTTGAAGCCAGTGAATTTATTTAATTATTTATTGTTATAAGATTATGAGCATAATTGTGAGAATATAGTCAAATGCCATATCAGATATGCTAGTCATAGTAACCATGATCCCACAAGGATAGCAATTCATATTAAACTATGTCACAACTAATAAGTAGCCTAACTGCTGCATAAACCGAAGAGGACATAGGACACATTTGGTAGATTGCCCGCTTGCAGCTCTCGAAAGCTTAGAGAAATTAGCACAAAAAAACTACACTAATGCAGACTCCTTATAACTTCACATTTACACACCTAGTATATGATGTTTTTATATATTAAACATCATTTACCTTCACAATTCAGTTTTTATCAACTAAAAGATTAGGAGACTTCAAATCACGATGAACAATGGTAGGTGTTCTAGCGTGTAGGCAATTCATGCCCTTTGCCTGCAAAATGAAAACAAATTTGAAATTTTTTTTGTGGTTGTCACATCCTAAATAAAACAATTGCAGGAGCAATTAACCCTATACCACATCAAGAGCCATCTTAATTCTACGCTTTTCATCAATTTGAGAATGACGATTATGAAGAATCTTATATAAGATTCCTCTAAAAAAAAAATAACGTTTGCACAATTTAGAACTTCAAAGACCATCCACATGTGTATCACATGAATACACGTGCATGTTAGTAGTCATAGACTGCCAATTTCATATTGCATCTTTATTACTTTGAAGATAAGATAACAATATGTAGGCATAGACTCTAACCTTTGAAGAAACTCGGAAATGGTAGGGAGGTTTAGAGGGCGAGTAGAACAACATTTGGATGACACAGTCTACACATTATTCGCACTTTAAATTAAAGAGAATAACAAAAATCAGGATCAGTGATTTTGAACTTATTTTAACTGCCATAACCTTAGCATGGATGTTTGTCTGAAGTTTGGATATGGCCAGATATTTAAAAGAAAAGAATGAATAAACTAAAATATCTAAAATCACATTGTACTATCATTTTGATAAGAAACATAGATGCTTAAAAGTTGCTTACCTCTTTTGAACTCATCCAAAGCAGTGCTTGAAAAATCCTGGTCTAGGAACTTCTTCACAACAACCTCCCGTAGTTCAATAACCATTACCACCCACAAAACCGGTTCTTATCTTTTACCACTTAAACCCAAAGTTGGCACATATTAACAATTAACAATTAAAAAAAATTACCACCCTTGCTAACCATAATATCTGACTACATAATGTCAGAAAGTTAGAATACTGAAATATAATGAATAATTATATTGTGTCATATAATCTACATCAAAGTAAATGGTTTCTGAAAAAAGCTTTACATATCCTAAAGCGAACAGACCCCAATCAAAGAAGATAATTACACCAAGAAATGAGAAAAAGATGCCAAAGCTGATAAGACTCAAGCCAACCTCTGCAAATTAAAGCCAAAACTTCTCATGTTAGAACCCAAAGTTAAATTAACTAATTAAAGACCTCGAGAGAATAAAGAAATAGTTACAGTCAAATGAATCCACTAAAATATAAAATTTTTTCAAGTTGCATGGTAAATTTAACACTTAATAGAACTTTATTTCAGCGAAACCCAACTTAATAAAGCTTTAAGTTGGCACGTATAACCTGTAGCTCAACCGAACCAAAAGTTGGCACATAGTGTATTTGTTGCAGGGGCCGTTCTCTTTGCCGACTCCTCGTTGCAAGGCCCAACAGTCATGCACCCTTCCTTGCAAATGTGTTCTAAACACTTCATTGTCTTAAAAAAAAAATCATGCACAAAAAAAAAAAAATTCAAACACAAAACTCATACAAAAAAGACTAATCACATAAAAAAAAAAAGTAGCATAATGCAAAAGAAATAAAAATAATTTATAAACACACATCTATGTCCAAAATCAATCAAAATTGATTATTATTATTATAATTATTATTTGTTATTAATATTATTATTTGTTATTATTGGTATTATTATATTATATTATTATATTATCATTATTATTATATTATATATTTTTATTTTATTTTATTATTCTTCTTTCCATTTCTTTTTAATCTGCGTTTGAACAAGGAAATTGAATCTACTGAATCAGAGAGATCCAATTTGCATGGTCAAATCAAAGGTTTTTAATTCAATCCAGACAAATCAGCTGAGACCTAACCTAAAATCATGCTCGTGCATAATCCAATCACAGGATTCAAGCTTGGATTGGTTCTGTCTGATTCCTAAAATTGCTACTGAGGACAGCCTATAAATTGGACACCATATGGAAGAACAAGAGACGGTTAATTTTGGGAGAAAAAAAAACTCTATTGTTGTAATTCTAGGAAAAAGTTTCTAGGCTATAGGGTTTCTAAGATTTTAGTTTTAAAGTTTCTAGATTCGAGGTTTTGGTGATCAAAAGGTGTTTGGAGTTCTGGTTTTTGGTCTGAAGTGTTTGAATTGAAGCTTAAATTTCTAGAAAATTTTGGGGTTTTTTGAAAAAATTTTAAAAAATCTGGGTTTTGGATGAATTTTTGAATTTTTTCATTAAATTTTTTGGCGAACTTTGAATTTTTTGACGAGATTCCGATGATTTTTTCAGAAACCAATGAAGTTGTCCAGTTTCTAATGGGTGTTCTTGGGACATTTTAGAGAGAAAGCAAAGACGATTCGACTAAAGAGAGAGAGGACCAGAGGGCTTTTGATGAAAAACTGAGTATGACTTTTATAGCATCCCAAAACGACGCCATTCTAAAGGTCCCAAACCAGCGCGTAGACCCATTGATCCTGTGCCGATCGACGTTTCAACCCGACCCGATTACAGGTTTTTCTTTTTTTATTTTATTTTTATTTTTTGATTTTATATTTTAAGTTTTTATTTTATTTTATTGATTTTATTATTATTTATTTTGTAGAGTAACTTATTATTAAATATTTTGTTATCTTATTTTGAAAAAAAAAAGTAAACAAAAAAAACTCTTTTCAAATAAATTCATGAACCCTACCAAACTATTAGAGGATTTTTTTATGAGTTTAAATTTTATAAGTTCTACCAAACTATTAGAGAATTTCATAAATCAATTTTCAAATGAAAAATATTCTAATAAAGATTTTGTAT